CCATGAGTGTTGATAGTATATCTAAGCAAAATGCAGCTTAAGATTGTTAGGGTGACTTAAAAAAAAAAAAAAAAAGGATACTTATTGTATCATGTTGTTGTTAGGTGCCGTTCAGTTGGCTCCGACTCATAGCCATCCTGTGAAAAACCGAATAAAACTATGTGCAATAGAATGAAACACTGGTCCTGCTCTGTTCTCGCAATTGTCACGGTGCTTGAGCCCATTACTGCAGCCAGTATACCAATCCCTCACATTGGAGGTCTTCCTCTATTTTGCTGACCCATCACTTTACCAAGTAGGATGTCCTTCTCAAGAGACTGCTCCCCCTTGTGCCAACATGTCCAAAGGATGTGAGATGAAGTCTTGCCATCTGGCAATTTTAAAGTCAGGACTAATATGAAATTTTTAACAAAATTCAAATGGACATCTTCCCAAACTCAAAACTTTGCAACAAGTTTACCAGACTGCTGCCCACATAAAACAGTTTATAGATGGATCACGTATTTTAAGGAAGGTGAGGAAGACCTCAAAAATGAGCCAAGAGAGGAAAGACTGTCAATATTGGAAAATGAAACAACTGTGGTTGAAGTCCAGAATCTAGTGGACGAAGTCCATAGAATCACCACTTATCGATATGATAGCTACTGAAGTTGGAATCTTACATGGGTTATCATTTTCAATTTTAAGCGAACATCGTGGCCTCAGCAAACTTTAACTTTGATGGGTGCCAAAAGTGTTGTGCAAAGATCAGCCAACTCAAAAAGCTGATATTTCCATGTCTTTTAAACAAGATCACAGCTAATGAAGACAGTTTTATGGAATGAATCCTATCAGGGGATGACTTAGAGAGATAGGTCCAACCAAGACAGTGGCTTCTGAGGGGATCTGCTGGCCCATTTAAATCCAAGGCAGAGAGGTCAGTCCAGAAGGTAATGGCTACTGGTTTTTGAGATTCCAAAGTGATGATAGATTTTTTTAAGGACACAGAACCATCACAGGGGTTTATTTCAAAGAAGTTTGAAGAAATTGAAAACTGCATTGGTGAGAAAAAGGCCAGGAAAGTTGTACAGAGGAATTTGTTTTCCCCTATCACAACAATGCCAATGCACCTGCTCATTCTTCGAGAGTAGCAAAGGCTGTCTGTCCTAAAAGAATTTCATTTAGAAACCTTCCCCCATACATCCTACAACCCTGACCTAGCCCTTTTAGATTTCTTTTTGTTTCCCAAACTCAAAGAGCATTTAACAGGAACATGATTTAAGTCCCTCAAGTACGCTAAAACTGCTATTTTGATGTGATGTAAATCAAAGAACGCACACTTCTTTGAAGAGGCGTTAGAGAGATGGAAACAGCACCTTCAGAACTATGTAACCCTAGGTGGAGGATATATCGAGAAGCAATAGCTTTACATTTTTAATATTTTTCTTTTATAAAAATGTCTATGATTTTGTAGTAATACTTTCTGACTTACCCTTCTATTAGTCTATGTGATCTTCAGCAAGTCCTTGCTGGGGTCTTAGTCTTCTCCTCTGTAAATTTAGTGGTGGGTACTGGAATCTAAGCTCTCCTCTGCTCTGGCATTCCAAGAGCATTAAGGAAAAAGGATGAATCACCCCCTTCAAAATACCAGTATGGGCTGGGCCCTCCCCCTACTGTCCCCATCGAGCACAGCTAAGAGCTCTTAATACACAGCCAGCTTCCTCCTTGCAGCTGCCACCAAATTTCAAGTCCCTTTCCCAGGAGTCTCAGAAGCAAGACTGATAATGGACCCCTGGCCTTCGCCATCTCAACAGGGAACCAGATCCCATTCCCAGACTCCGGAGGACAGAGGGCCCTCCCCAGAGGGGGCTGGCTTTCCTGGACATTTGGCTTCAGTTTGCTTGTGTGTGGAGTGTGTATGTGCTTGTGTGTGTGTGTGTGTGGGGGGGGGTAGTGGAAGTGGAAGAAAGGAATAAAGGGAAGATTTGAAAATTAGTATGAGAAGTGAGTTCCTGCATCCTAAGGGGGAGGGATGGAGTAGTGGGAGCCTCGGGATCTCCCCCTGGATTCTTTTTTAAAGTTGATGTGTAGTATCCATGATAGTTATAAATCGTCATCCTCTGAGGGGGGGCACTGATCCCCCAGCAGCTGCATAAGTTCATAGACTCAGGCTGTCAAAGCCTCAGAAGACACCAAGATCAATTTCCCTCTTATGAGAGATAGGCACTAGATGCCCGCAGAAGACAGAGCTCTCTTCTTTCCTGTTGAAGCTATTATTAGTATTATCAATATTAATAATAATGGAAACGTAGCTGGCTGTGCACCTCCTAAGCCCTCTTCTGGGACAGCCTGGGTCCTGATGGGTGCTCTCGGTCTCAATGGCCTTAGGCCTGCCCATTGGATCTATGGGTGCGGTGGTTTATCTATTGCAAGGCTCATCTGAAGCCCGGGTGCTCCTTGCGCACCCCGGATCCCACTCTGAAAGCCCAGAAACTAGCCGGCTGCGAGCGGGTTTTCCAAGTGGGCAGGGGTGGGGAGGAGGGGCGCGGGCGGAGGGGAAGACCTCACATTGTAATCCAATGACATTGCCAACGTGGGGGTGGGGGCGCTGGCCGCCGCGCGCTCTCAGAGTTTTGGCTGCTGGCCCAGCTGGGAATAACTCTCTTCGCATAATTCGCGTGTTTACTAGGCATGAAAATTCTTGCTTTTGGGTCCCCTCCATCCCTGTAAACCCCCTCCCCGTCCTCTCTCCCCTCCACCTCCGCCCCTCGCAAGTGAAACTCTGTCTAAAAAAATATTGGCCCGGGGCACAGTAAGTTTTGCATAAATTCATAAGTGATGAATGGCTGATTTTAACGTTATTTGGGTATTTGTCAGAACTTAACAAATATACATGGGAATGGCGGTTCATAAACTTAAACATCTCAATATCCCCTTTCTTCTGGAAATAAATTACGTTTGTTTGCCTGGCTTGGAGTCTTAAGGTAGCCGACATTAGGAATATTTTAAAAGCTATCATCCATCGAGCATGTCTCCCAGGCGCCAGGAAGATTAAATGAAAGAATCATAAGATGGAGGTCTTTAACTTTTAATCCTTTTACAATGAAGCCTCAGATAGTCGCGGGGGCAGGGTGCCCTCTCTGGGGGGAATAATGCCGTTATTCCTCGGCTCTCAGTTAATGAATACCCTAACGTCTGTCCCACGGCCGACGGAGGCAGCGCCGGGGAGGGGGCTCAGGCTCCGGGGCCAGCCTATTGAAATGAGGAGCCACCGAGGCTGCGTCGGGAAGGAAGAAAGCGCCCGACTGGAGGGACTGGGCGGGCGGGGCCGGGGGCACTGAGACCGGTCTCAGGTTTGAAATAATTAGCATAGATTCGCCGGGATTCCGGACTAGAAAGGGGGGGTTGGGGGGGCAAGGAGGGAGATGAGAGGAGGTGGCAGGGGGGGTGGGAAGGAGGCAAAGGAGAGCGACTTTGGAATCCAAGATAAATAAAGGGCGCGCTGAGCAGTGTCAGCAAGCGGGCCCACGTGGAGCTGCGCGGATGAGCGCCACCGCTGACTCCCGCAGAGGGACGGACGCACGCGAGAGCCCAGCGCCCTCCCCAAGAAGTTGACTTTTTAACCAGTGGGGTGCGGGCGGTACTTTGCACTTCTGTTTAGTGGGTAACACGCTCTCTGCTCCTATCTCTTCCCCTAAAGCCCAAAGATTCCCATTCGTATCCCCACCCCCACCCCTGTCCCCGGTCCCCGGTCCCTGGTCTCCAAAGAGAGTTAGTTATGTGTTCTGAGTTGAGGTACACCCCACTTTCAACAACAGATCCCAGAGCTGACGTTTTTCACCACATTCGGCTCCACCGAAACCCTGGCTCTTCGGGGTCACCCTTGAGTCCTGGAGGAGGGCTACGTGAGTGAGTGTCAAATCTCTAGCTCCCCTCAGCAAGTCCAGCTAAGGGCTGGGACCTGCAAGATCCTGGAGGCAGAGTGTGTTGATTGCAAGAGGTCTCCTCAGCAAGAACCTCCGTAGCATCCAGGCATGCAAAGGGTTAAGCGGGGCTGGATATTGAGGTGGGGGGTGCGAGGCGGGAGGGGTGGCGGGATCTGGGTGGGCACGCTCAGATCTCTCTCCCTCCCCCCCATTCCTCGGGGGTCAAGTTTCAGCGGCACTCCGCCCCCAGGGTAGGTGTGAAAGACACGTGTCCCCATTGTGAAGGGCCTGTCAGGCAGGACAAAGCGGCCGCCCACCCTCCCCATCCCACCCCCGCCCCTCGGCCCAGCCTGGGGTCAGCTCCAGGGGGCCGGCTGGGTGTCGAGGTCACGACAGGCCCAAGCTTTGGTGACATAGGGGGAAAATGCTGGGAGACTAGGAGAAGGCCACGTGATGCTCAAGTGAGGGGTTTGAGAATAGCCCCCCTTCTCTCCCTTAGCCCCCTCCCACCACTGAGAAACTCAGCGGTCACCTCCAACAAACCAGAGTAGGGAGTCTGAGGGATGAGCCCCTACTCCCAACAGGCATATAGGCACAGTGGCACCCCTTCCCCGCCCCCTCCCGCCGCCCCCTCCCCATCAATCACCAACACAGAGAATCAGCAGTGTGGAGCTCAGTCGGTTTTAGTGGTTTTCTTTAATCCTGCTCTGCACTTCTTTCTCATTTACTACACGGGATATTATAAAGAATAAATAGCAGATACTCTTAATTTACAATGATTAGTCATTCCATTTGTTCTCTATATTTACAATAACTGTAAAATAACATTGAGCTCTACAGCTTCTTCGAGGTCCAAGGAAAACCAAAACACTTTCCAAAGAATGGAAAATAGCTTTTAAAAAGTCCTTCTACAAAAGTTCCCCTCTCTCTTTGTACTTTAAGAAAAAATAACTTTCCCCCCTGCTTCGCCATGCGAAGGGCACTGGAATATAAATAGCAGGTTAACATTATTAGCAACAACCAGAGTAAGTCTCTCTTTTCTGTTTTTTTTCTTTTGCTTATTATTTTTTTAAAAATACAGTAGAAGCCGGTAACTTTTAACGTATAATACTGACCTTTTAATAAGTAAATTAAAACTGGGACCGTATATACACACACATATACATTCCTACACAGTTAAACAGTGCATTACATGAACCAGAAAGCTAGGTCTCTGTAGCCAAAAAAAAAAAAAAAAAAAAAAATTTCATTGAATCCACTCGCGAGGGTGGAGGAACTGGTTGGAGGCTGTGGCTGGGGGCGTCGGTGGGGGTCAGTCAAGTGTCTAGGTGTGGGCAGGGGCCCCCGAGTTCTAGCACGAACACTTGCACTCAGAAATGATGGGGTACTGGATGGGAATCCAGCCGCAACGCTGGCCCCCGCGCCGCTGACAGCGCCACCGCAGCACCGTGAGGTGCACGGATTTGGACGGCTTGCACACCATGCCCTCGGGCACCGAGCACGAGCGCTTGCTGAAGCAGCTGCCCACCTTCACGTAGCGCGGCCAGAAACGGCTGCCTAGGTCGTTCCACGCGTACAGCACTGGGCAAAAGGTCTGCGACCACAGCCACATCTGTAACTTCCTCCGCAGCTTCTTGCTCAGGCGTTGCTTCTTGCCCGGGGCCAAGCCCTCGGAGAACTCCAGCCCTTTGATCTCGCTCGGCATGGCCCCGGACGGCCGCTGCCTTAGCAGCTGGTCCAGCTCCGCTAGGTCCTCGGCGCCCCCGGCTGCTCCCCCGCCCCCGCCAGGCCGGTCTTCGGGGGGCGAGGTGGCCATGAAGCCCGGGTCGTAGTGGCCTCCCAGTAGCGAACGCAGCAGCGTCTCGTTCAGATCCTTCTCCTTGGGGTCAAATATAGGGTCCGGGTGTTCGATGAGGTCCACCAGGGGCAGGTTGTCGCTGGGAGCTGGGCGGATGTGGAGGTAGTGCTGGCCGCCAGTCGGTGCCGCCCGCAGCCCCAGGACCACCACCAGGGCGTAGAGGGTGACCCCCAGGCTGGGGCAGCGCTCCATGCCTCCGGCGTGCGCCCGGGGCTGCTACTTCGTCCCGCGTCCCAGGAGGAGAGCACGCCGAGCCCTCGGCGCCGCCGCCGCGCTCCCCCAGCTCTCCCGAGGTGGCTCACCCGAAGCTGGGCAGGCGCAGGGCCGGCAGCATGAGCCGCGAAGAGAGCCCTTCGCTCCGCGCCGGCTCCCACAGGGGCGGAAAAAAGGCACACAAGTTGGCTGCAACTCCTCTCCCGGTTCTATTCGGAAAGGCGGCCGCGGCGGGGCATCCGAAATTACTCCAGGGCCACCGCGGGGCGCAGGGGACGCCGGCTCCTCGTTGCCTTCCCGGACCCGCGGCGGCGCAAGGCGCGTGGACGAGCGGTCTCCCCTCCTCCTCCTGCTCCGGCTCCTGGTCCTGCAGCTCTCAGCGGCGCCGCTGGCCGAGCGGGTCCCGGGGGCACTTCCCTCCGCCTGCTCGGGGCTCCGCGGCCGGCTCTGCCCGGCGGACTCCAGCGGCGGCGGCGACGGCGGCGGCGGCGTCCGCGCACGTTGGCACCGGTTTGTCTGTCTCGCAGGGTCCAAGCCTTTAAATTTCCTGCACTTTCAGCTCCATCACCATGGAAACCACTGACTCTCTCGGCGTTGCCCCCTCCCCCTTCTTCCCCCCAAACAACAACCCCACCCCCCACTTCTCCACCCCCGAGGAGCTGGAGCAGCACAGACTCCGGGGGAAGCCGCCTGCACTCGCCGCGGCGGCGGCGGCGGTGGCGGTGGTGGCGGCGGCGGCTTCGGCAGCGCCCAGGGCTGTGCCCCACCGGACCCAGATGCCCCGGGAAGCCGACAGTCCGGCTGCCCGCCCGAGCTCACAGGCGGCGGCGGCGGCGGCGGCGGTGGTGGTGGCGGCGGCGGTGGCGCTTGGCAGGTCTCCGCGCAATTTTCTCTCTCCCCCACCACCCACCCCCCTTCTCCTCCTCCTGCAAAATGCACCGCCCCCCTCCTTTCTCCTGGAGCAATGCAACTGGGGCTCTAGGCGCCCCGCCAGGGCCAGTCCTGGGGAGAGCTCGCGGCGGCGCAGGAGCCGGGCTGGAGGGTGCAGGGCCAGCTTTGGGGGGTGTGCCCTAGGTGGGGCGGGGGTTGCTTTGCACTGGGAGGGGAACAGCGGGGAGCTACCGGGAGCTCTTTTCTCCGTGCAGTTTAAGGGAAGGAATCTATCCATGTGCATGGAGCGTTTTCCCGGGACGCGTCTCGCTTTCCTCTCTCCCGTACTCCGTCTCAGTCCCTTCCCCCAACACACACACACACACACACACACACACACACACACACACACACACCACTATGGGTCCCCTGCTCCCCCAGCCTTCTCCACCCCACACACACTGTGCGCCCTGAGAGTCCGCTAGCCGCAGCGTTGCTCCGCGTGATGTAATTCCTAGGAAGCACTCCTGCTAGTCTGTTCCCCCTGCCCACGAGGGGGGACTACTCCTCACCCTCCTTCTCCTCGGCCAGTTCTTTCGCCCTGAGTGGCGGAGCCGCAGGGGCGCGTCCGGCTAGTCTGCAGCTCCCCTGGCCTGTTCAGCTCGCTGCGGAAGCCGCTCTACTCCCTGGGGGCGGCGCGCCCTCTGCTGGTGCACTGCAGGCACTGCACCTGGCGCTAGATGGACGGTTTGTCTGCGGCCCCCTTTCCCCTGCTCGCGTTTTGTTTCTGTGTCCATGTCATTTCTGTGTGTTTGAATGTGTGCGTGTGCCGACGAGTCCGTTCTGGTTCAGTGTGTTCTCTGGAGTCTCTCCAAGCCCTCACTGTAAACAAACTCCCAGAGATTCCTCTCTTTGCCCCTCAAATTTCTCAAGAATAGGTGCCCACCTCTGTCTGGGCTGAAACAAGAGTGGGAAGCAGAAACATGCAAGAAGATCTGACAGTAGGAGACCTGAGTGTTGGATGGGTTCCAATCTGACATAATCGTGTTAGTTAACCTTGGAGAAGTCCCTTTTCTTGCCCAGAACTAGTTTCTGTCTTAGTAATAGACTTGCATTACCTCTTCCAACCCTACCTTGCTATGATTAGAAGAAATAAACCTGTGTGATACTTTCTTTCAGAAATACTCTCTGTGATGGAAGATGGGAACTGAAAGGGCACTTCCGGTTAACTTTCCTCTGAAATCCAAACTCAGTTTTCTTTGTGGATCTTAATTATAAAAAGCTAGTAAAGAGACTTTGAGTGGATGACAGCTATTCCCTACTTCCCCTGGATGAGAGTTAGGTGGTCCCTTGGTGCCAACTTAACTTACTCCACTTAACAACAGTTATCTAGTTTTTCCTTTCGGCCTGTTCTATCCTCTCCTCAAACACACATAGCATTTTACCATCTCCTAGGAAGTCCTGGGGTGGCGCTGTGGGCTAATACTTCGGCCTGCAAAGTCGTTTGAACTGCAAGACTGGTGGTTCAAGCTAACCAGCGGCTCCTTGGAAACCTATACAGGATCACTATGGGTCAGAACTAACTCGACAGCACTTAACAATAACAACAACAAGGAAGAGGTAGATCTGTCTTGAAGAGGTGCTGCCAGAATGTTCCTTAGACGTGAGGATGGTGACACTTGTCACTCATACTTCAGACATGTTACCAGGAGGGACCAATCCTTGGAGAAGGACATCATGACCGGTAAAGTGGAGAGTCAGCGAAGAAGAGAATGAACCCAATGAGCTGGATCAGCATAGTGATAGCAGCAAGGGTTCAAGTGTAACAACAAATGTGACGATGGTTTCCATCTGTTATGCAACTTATGGGGTCACTATAAGTTGGAACTGACTCGACAGCACCTAACAACAACGACAAAGAAAGAGACATGTGATCAAAAACTGGTAGTACTGAAGGAAGAAGTCTAAGCTGCCTTGAAGGCAAAACAAAACTCCAGAAATGGACAGAACACCAGCTGAAATGCTTCAATAAATGATGCAGCACTGGAAGCACTCACTAGTCTATGCTAAGAAATCTGGAAGACAGCTACTTGGCAATCCAATGAGAAGATCCATATTTGTGCCCATTCCAAACAAAAAGTAATCCTGCAGAATGTGGAAATTATCTAACAACATCATTGATACGCAAGTAAAATTTTGCTGAAGATAATTTACAAATGGTTGCAGTGGAGCTTCAAGACTAAGGGATCACAAGAGCATTTCCTTTCGTTGTGTATAGGATCACCTGAGTCCAGGGCAGACTCCATGTGGGCTCATAACAATGGAGAAAATTCACTGGAATTCACATCACAGTCTATGTGCAAACACTCAGAAGTTGGAAACCCCTCAGCTGAAAATATGTCCCTAAACTTTCAAGTCTAGACAACAACTAGAAAAGGAAATCTTGCTTTGATGAATACTGCCAATAAGAACCCACTGGTTTTTGAATTGGGTTAATTCTGAAATAATGTGCTTGGAGCTTACCACATAGTGGTGTTGTTGTGATTAGGTGCCATTGAGTTGGCTGCGGCTCATAGTGATTCAATACACAACAGAAGGAAAAACTGCCCCGTCCTGTTCTAGGCTCACAATTACTAGTATGTTTGAACCCATGACTGCTGTCACTGTATCAGTCTATCTTGTTGGGGTCTTCCTCTTTCCCACTGACCTTCTAGGTTGCTTAAAAATCACTCTTTTATGTCCCATGTGCTTTGTGGAGACTTAGGAATACTCTGATTTTTTTTTAAATGAAGATTAAATGCTCCACGGCAATTTTATTGATGCTGCGAATTAACTAAGAAAATTAGTTTTCAGGGAAGAGTTTAAAGATTCAATTTTAGCTCAGTACATGTTTTATGGTGCTGTTTTCTATTCTGCCAGTGGTTCTCTTTATTTTTGTTTGAAAACCACTCCAGATCTCTGCCCTTTATTTAGACTGGATAGGACTCCTGCACTATAGGGTCGGCACTGGAGTGGGAACCACAAGGTCGGCAGTTCAAACCCATCAGTTGCTCCTTGGAAACCCTATACCGGGTCACAATGCGCTGGAACAGACTTCATGGCACTTACCAACAACAAACCAGTCTGGACTGAAAGGAGCCCTAGTGATGCACATGGTTAAATGCTCAGCTGCTAATGGAAAGGTTGGTGGTTCAAACCCACCAGCAGCTATGCAGGAGAAGACACTCCACCATCCATTCCCAGAAAGATGACAGCCTAGGAAATCCTATGATGCCATTCTATTTGGTCACATGGGACCATTATGAATTAGAATCGACTTGATGGTACCTAACAACAACAGATAATGGAACAGTTAAAAAAAAAAAAAGTTCCCTCAGAAGTGAAAAGTTCCCTCAGAGAACAGATTGGGTGACCTATTTATGGAATGGACACTGGGTGAAGAACTTGGAGATGGACACAAAGAAAATAATTTACAGCTGATCTCCAACTCCCGGGACTTTGCAGCTCAGTTAAGGGTGATATGATGTGCCTATCAAGGAAACATGAAAAGAGCATGGAAACGTTTGTAAGTTCTTGATAACAACATAGACGACAACCTTTGTAAGCCCATACTTTCTTGTGGGAAATAGAACAATTTAATGCTCTCCCTTGAATGTTGTTTGAAATGCTGTAATATATTACGATGACCAAACAAAAAAGCAAAGCAATTATAATATTACCTATACTGTTTTCAAGCCACACCTACCCCTGTTCACTGTGGAGTTCTGGGATGCCATACCGGGGAACCTATAGCTCCCAACTCTATGCCATATTGAAGTAGCTCATGCATTTATGTGCTAAGACAATCGGGGCTGTTGGCATTGGAGACTAGGTGATTCTAATACCCTAGAGGTAGAGCATGCCTGAGGAGATCTGGTAGCATAATGGCTGTGAATCGGGCTACTGACCTCAAGGTCAGCAGTTTGAAACTAGCAGCTGTTCTGCGGAGGAAGATGAGACTTTGTGCTCCTGTAAAGATTTACAGCCTCAGAAACCCTAATCAGAGTTTCTATGAGTAGGAATAGACTCCATAGCGCATAACCACCAACCACTGTCACCAGAGTATGCTCAGACTTCATTTCACTTACTTTGGACATGTTATCAGAAGGGACCAGTCACTGGAGAAGGACATCATGCTTGGTAAAGTAGAGGGTCCTCAAAAAAGAGGAAGACCCTCAGTGAGATGGATTGATGCAGGGTTGCAACAGTGGTTCAAATACAGCAATAATCACGAGGACGGAGTAGGACCAGACAATGTTTTGCTCTGCTATCTTTTCATTTTATTTTCTCATGACCTTTTGGAAGACCTCCCCAACCCCATACCTAGCATTGTTATGAATAGGAGCTGACTTGATGGCACTGAACAACAAGAAGAGCTGAGCTTTAGCTGAGTTTGGTGATGAAGAAAGGGAGAGGCAGAGCGCTGAGATACAGGCTAAGGCTCTGCATGAAAAGGAGGCCCATACTGTCTGAGGGACAGCCAGAATATCAGGGGCAGGGAGAGTGGAGGAGGAGTCGATCCTAGACAGTGAAGTTCAATACAGAGGTGATCTTTGTATTAGATTGGTCTCAGGTAGAATTCTGGCCCAATAACCCACC